CGCTGCCGCAGGGTTTGTGTCCCGCCTCGCAGGGGGTGGGCAGGAAGGTTTCCTCCTGGCACCGCAGCGTTTCCGAGGTGCCCACGTAACAGCCCAGCTCCTCTCCGCAGCAGATGTTGGGTCCGAAGCAGCGGCCCTTGTTCCTGGGGCCGCAGGGCAGGCACTGCTCGGGAGCAACCGCAGCAGCCGGTTAACCGGGAAGCGCCTTCAATCAGTGCACTGCAGTTGAGCCTTCCCCTTGGTCCTTTCCTCCCTTCTGCTGTCATCTTCCCTCATGGAGCCCCGGGAATGTCGGGAAAAGGACAAGATGGGACTTACCTTCCTGATATCCATATCCAGGACAGCGCGTTTGCCCCCGATGGGGCAGTTCTGGATGTAGCAAGCGGAGGAGAGCGCCAAGAGCCCCAAGAGGCAGACAGCGAGCGCCTTGCAGGGCATGGCTGCAGGTTGGGAGGCTTCCCAGCTTTCCCCTCTGGAAAAACAGCCCTGGATATATAGTGCCAGCTCCTGCTTACACATTCCGGCACCAGCGTCACCCATCTCCCTTAAGAACCACAAGGAATTGCTTCCCACACCAAGGGCTCTGCTAATAGCCGGAGGTCGAGGACGTGAGGTCACGGCCAAGGTGTTGGTTTGCTCCTTGGTGATGAGTCCGACTGTGATGGGGAGGGAACGTGCAGAGGTTGTGGATCAGTTTGGGGCTTGGGTGCCTTCTCTGCCAACCCCTTAAGGCTGTGGAGCTGCGGCTTGTTGCTCCATATTCCATTTGGGACCACTGTAGTGTTGTTTGGGGTGGGATGGAGGAAGGCATCCAGCCAGGAGAGGGGTGAGAGGGGCATCGTGCTTCCCTTGGCTTCAAAATCCCTTCTGGTGGGAGGAAAATGAACCCAAATCCTCCACTGGGATCATCCATGGGACATCGGGTGGGAAACGATGGGTCCTTCCCACCCATCTTTACCTGCATTGGGGGATGCTCAGCGCTTGGTTCAATCTGTTTTGGGGTGATGGTGACCCCGGTCCCATCCCTTGCTTTCATCTGACTGCATTGAGGCAGCCTGGAAACATCAAACCCCATCAGCAAAGGCCTGAACCCCCACGTTTCCCTCTTGGCTTCTGCCCTGGAGCTTGAACGCGATGGCCTGGCCCACGTCACCAATGGCCCCTGTAGAAACAGCACTGCGGATGCAGCCACACAGGCTCCTGCTCACCCCAACCCTCTGCCTTCGTTACCACAATTAAGAGCTGAATCAGTTCCTCTGCTGTGGACAAATCTTAATGCCGAGGCCATTATCCCAGTCCCTCCTTGTGCCTCCTTAATTGGGAATTAGGCAGCGCGGAGCTGGAAAGCCGCGACCTCTCCTCATCCCCTCCGGCTTGCTTCGAAATGTGCCACTTACCGTGGCCACAGTGAGGGCAGCCGGGTCCTGGTCACACAGCCGGGGTCAGGCAGCCAGGCCCTGGGGACCAGCCAGGCACCGGTGTCCATGTAATGGGTTGGAAATGGGGCTCAGCACCACCCGTGTAGCATCCCGGGGGCTCAATCCCGGCTGTGGGATGGGATTTTGGGGGTGGAAAACACCCTCCTGGAGTCCCCCAAGTGGGTCTGGGGGTACCCTGATGCCCATGGGCAGGGTTGGGATGTTTCTTGTGTGGAAAACCCCCTCAGTTGTCAGCTCCTGGTGCTTTTTGGGATGTTGACACCCCGATGCCAAAGCTCCCATCAGTATCCCGCATCCTAGCGCATCCCCGGTGCTGCAGGAGCTGTTGTGGTTCACATCCTGCATCCCGGGATGCAGCACTGAGATAACCAGCCCAGTTCCCTCATCCCATGTGTTCGCAGCTCGGAGTCACCCATCCATGCGGGTATTGCCCCTTTCCCAGTGATTCTGGGGGTGATTTCGGGTCTCCCACCTCCCCAGGGCTGCGATAAGATGCTCATTGTCCTGAGCAGGCGCTGGGTGAACCCTGCACCCCCTGTGAGGCGCAGGATGAGCAGGATGGGACCCGCTGGAATGGCGGAGCTCCACCTCCCGAAGGTGCCACCTCCCGCAGGGACATTATAAAGGTCGAGCTGTCCCCAGATCCCAGCCCAGAGAGAGCCGGGAGCAGGGACCCCGCAGGGTAAGAGACCAGGGGAGGGGAAGGGCTGGGATGACAGTATCCCCAATAAGGGGTGAGGGTGGAATAACGTGGGGCTGATCCAACCCATTTGGTGATGATGATGATGGGAAGGTGAGACCAGCCCCAGGGGTTGTATGAATTTGGGAGCCCAAATTTCCTGCTTTTAGGGTGGGGGATTTTTTGGTGCTTTTCCTTATTTTCTGTCATTTTTAGGAGCTGTGATTGAAGCAGCTCATTGTGCTGGTTCCTGAAGGCACCGAGGCTCCGAATCTGCCCCAAGGTGGGGTCTTGGGCAGGAGGTAACAGGATGGTGGCACATCCCATCACTGTTCCGTGGATGCTGGGCGGCTCAGCACCCATGGGTGCTGCAGGGCTGCTGGGGTGGGACTCAAAGGGCAGCTCTGCCTGAGCTTCTTGTCCTCAGTGCTGTAATGACAGGGACAAATCCTGCTCCCGGCCCAGCAAAACCACTGAGGATGGGAGCAAACAGCATGGGAATGGATGGGGATATGGGAAGAGAGACCCACCAATGCTGCCCCACATCCACCCCCAAGCCCTCTATGGGTCCCTGGAGCCCCCCATGACACCTCCCCAGCACCCAGGACGAAGCCACCACAGTGCACAAGGACTTTTATTGGGTCTGGTATTTACAAGGCTGGGGTTGGGGTGTGGGTGATGGCTGGGGGCACACACCAGGCTCAGAGGGTGGGATTCTTGCCCTGCTGCTGCCGGTTCGCCAAGTGCATGAGCTTGAGGAGCAGGTCTCCGGCCGAGCCGTCCAGCACCGTCAGGTTCTTCTCTGCTGCCTCCTGAGCCCCATCGCTGCTCTCGTCCAGGCAGGCGGCGTCCATCGCACAGGTCTCTTCAATGGAAACCAGTACATCAGGGGACAGGTTATTTAGCACCAGGAGGGGTTCGTTTTCGGGTGGGGAAGGGGCTGGTGGCACCAGGGGAGCTCATGCTCCGGCTTTGTCCCCTCTGTTAAGCAGGGAATGGGGCTGGCTGGGGTGTTTCCAGCACATCAGGGAGGGTGCGTGTGCCTGGATGGGAGATGTCTCGTCACGGTGGTTCGGGAAGGAGCTTTGAGCCCAAAATCCTTATAGAATCATGGAATGGTTTGGGCTGGGAGGGAGCTTAAAGCTCCTCCAGCT